AGAAGAAGAAGAAGAAGAAGAAGAAGAAGAAGAAGAAGAAGAAGAAGAAGAAGAAGAAGAAGAAGAAGAAGAAGAAGAAGAAGAAGAAGAAGAAGAAGAAGAAGAAGAAGAAGAAGAAGAAGAAGAAGAAGAAGAAGAAGAAGAAGAAGAAAGTCTTCACCTGCATCATAGTGACTGTTGGGTCAATCTTTGGAGGCAAGGGGATATGGATCTGATATTTGTTTCTGTCCACACTGCAGAGAGAACAGAAAGTCATATTTTGAGTATGTCTTTTCAAAGCCCTTCAAAAACATTCCCCCACACGTTAAGGAAGGGACTGTGCGTACCAAATATTGACACAGTAACCCAACAGAGCTGCAAGGCACACGTCTATAATATCAGCATTAGGATTAACCTCAAATTTTCCCGTTTTTGCTATGCCTTCTTGCAGCTGAGATATCTTAAGTAGGCTAGTATTTCAGAAGAAAGCAGAACTGACTGCCAGTTCTAGCTAGATATTGCAATAATTAGAGCTGGGTTGCATTTTACACCCTAACGACCACATTAAAGGCGGATGAAGACAGCAACTAGTTCAAAAGGCCACGGTTAGCTTGGAATGTCCCCTAATAATAATAATAATATAAATCAGACTTTTGAATCTTTGGCGTTACCAGCTGTATTCTAAATGGAACTGTTTTTATTAAACTCTTCTCTTCTTTACAGAATTACCAAATAACAAGAGTGTGAAGGGACCTCGAAGATAATAATAATAATAATAATAATAATAATAATGATGATGATGATGATGATGATGATGATGATAAAGTTGGAAGGGACCTTGGAGGTCATCTAGTCCAACCCCCTGCTCAGGCAGGAAACCCTGTACCATTTCAGACAAATGGCTGTCCAGTCTCTTCTTAAAAACTTCCAGTGTTGGAGCATTCAACACTTCTGGAGGCAGGTTGTTCCACTGGTTAATTGTTCTAACTGTCAGGAAGTTTCTCCTTAGTTCCAGGTTGCTTCTCTCCTTGATGAGTTTTCATCCGTTGCTCTTTGTCCTGCCTTCAGGCGCTTTGGAGAATGGTTTGACTCCCTCTTCTTTGGGGCAGCCCCTCAAATATTGGAAGACAGCTATCATGTCACCCCTAGTCCTTCTTTTTATTTATTTATTTTTTCATTTCTTTCCTTTCCTTGACCTGGCTCTCCCTAGATGCTTTCTGCTACATTGACCATTATCTTAAATGTAGCATTGGCTAAATGAATGGATGTAAGTTGAGTATTACCTATCCTATAGTCTACTCTGAAGGCTTGGTTTGCACGTGTATCCTAGTGGGACAAATAAAAAATACATGTGTTTTTAATGTTAAGGTTTTTCCAATATACTTAACTGTACTGAGAATTGTATTATCGTACATAAAGGTAATTTGGGGGGGGGATTGCAATATGAAATACGTCCCACAAAATTATATTTAAGATATGTCGACGGTTGAAGTATCCCAAAATGATAGTCAACTCACCCAACTCTCATCCCTTCTTCAATGTCAGTAGGTGCCACTTGGTCACTGAGGTCCACCACAAATTTGGCAAATTGCTTAACGTTGATGATATACTTGGGGTCCTCGGAATCCGCATTGATTATCTTTGTACACCTAAGCCAAAGAGATGAAACCAGCAAAATTAAAATGCTCATCGCTAGTTAATACAGTCTTAGCAATAATAACAGCAATCAAGGAAAGAAATATACGCTGAAGAGAGCTTTCTGTGTTATTCCCATTCACCCCTTGGATTTTAAAAAAAAAACTCTAGGACAAGGACCATTTCAAACTGATTAAATGGGTCGGCTTCTGCTAGTTGCAACAAATACTGAGGCAAAATATTTATGAAATTAAGAGGTACATAAGCAACCTTCTGAGGACCAGCTCCCTGCAAAGGCCAACATCTTCACCATCTTTTTGAAAGACGGCCTTATATTGGAAGCCTTTAGAACAGGGGTAGGCAACCTTGGTTCTTTTATGACTCGTGGACTTCAACTCCCAGAATTCCTGAGCCAGCCTGGCTCAGCTTGGAAACCTCTCCCTTTCCCCTCAGCGTGGCTGGCTCAGGAATTCTGGAAGTTGAAGTCCACGAGTCATAAAAGAGCCAAGGTTGCCCACCCCTGCTTTAAAAGATCTGGGGATTGCTCAACCTGGAAAAACTCCATCTATGTGACTGCTATTGATTTGATGGCACGCAATCAGTGAATTATACTGAAAGGTCCCTAAGATAACTTCATTCTTTAACAAAAAAGTATGTGTCACGCTCAAAAGACAAAAGACTATTTATTTTAATAGAACTTGGCTGCCTCACCGGCTGAACAATAAAGTTGTTATTTATTATTATATTATGATATACCTGGCCACCTGCAGTGGCTGTTCACTCTGAAGAGTTTGTTTATCAGCTGCTAAATCCCAAAGGGCGGGGGGTGCCAGGCCAGTGTCTGATTCTTTAATGCCTACAAGAGGAAAAAGGGAGATTAAAGGAGTCATTTTGAAAATACAGATAAAAGCACAAGCCTGATGATGATGAATGTGATTTCATCGAAACGTCGCTATGGGATTTCAGCTCCCAGAATTCCTCAGGCTGCCCTGGAGGAGATGTTCGCAGTCAAAACAGTTTGAAAATCTTACAAGGTGAATAGAAAACACTGGAGCCCTTTTTATCAATTGTACCCAGAAAAATCATTCTTTAGTAGATTCAAACGGAGGCATCCCAGATCCTAAATCTTACTCTAAAACTAGATGTTTTCCCTGGAGATTCTTGTTGTCTATTTTCAGTGCCAACATTCTCAAGATTACGCTTAAAAGCATCTTCTCTTATGTGATTCCACTTTCTCTACTTCTCCTTTTTTTCTGTCGAAGAAGTACTTTAATTTATTTTCTTTTGCTTAACCTTCCTTCCTCTTTTGAAGTTTTCTGGGGAGTTGCCACAAATAACCCAGAGGAAATTCAGCCCACTAGACAGTCAAGGCCAGCACCTGTCAAGGCCACCATCAGACAGATTTACTGCTTCTAAAGCACTAAAAGGGGAGGGGGGAGAGAAGTACCTGTGAGTTCATTAATTTTCTTAAGCAACTGTTGAATGTCATCTTCTACTTGTTTGATCTGCCTCGAGTATGTGCTCTGGCCCTGGATTTGAAAAAAAGATTGGGGAAAAAAATGAGGACTATTTGCGTTACTACAGCCTTATGCAATCTATCCCAATTCCTGTGATGTAAGGCTAAGGCCTTTATTAAGTTGATCGTTGTCTAAGCTTGGCCGTTGTAAGTGGTTCTTTCCAAGCTCTGACACTAAATGCTAAAGAATAACTCCTGCATGTTTGAGCCTCAGCCCAATGTTTATTTAATGTTTGCTAAGACCTACTTTGTTTAGAATATGAACGTAAGAATATAAACACATAACAAGCTCTTCTCCAAAGCGCCTGAAGGCAGGACAAGAAGCAACGGATGGAAACTAATCCAGGAGAGAAGCAACCTAGAACTAAGGAGAAACTTCCTGACAGTGAGAACAATTAACCAGTGGAACAACCTGCCTCCAGAAGCGGTGAATGCTCCAACACTGGAAGTTTTTAAGAAGAGACTGGACAGCCATTTGTCCAAAATGGTATAGGACAGGGGTGTTAAACTGATGGCCTGCAGGCCGGATGCATCATAGCAAAACTGCGCCCACCTCATTGCCGGCAATGGAAAAAAAAGTCACAATATGTCGCAACATGTCACGTGACGTTGTGAGTTTGACACC